ATTCCTTGTCATACTGATCTTGCCTCCAAGTTTCCTTCTCTTTTCCTGAGATATAAACAGCTTTATTTCAGATGAAGTCTACAGTTTGTCTTTGATCATACAGCTGCAAGATAAGACTAAAAATAATCATGCTAATAAGCTGCATTTCTCTCAGCTCTAATCCAAATTTGGGCAACAAAGCCAGTGCAAAGAATCAAATACAGACAGACATGGATTCATTAAAAATAGCAGGAAAACTACCTAGAAGCAGTCAGACAGGCATCCTGGGGGAAGAAGGAAATAAAAAATGAACAATAAAAATTAAGAGAAAGATTTCCAGTTCTTGAAAATGTATAAATGAGATTTGGGGTTTGAGCAAATTTTGTTCAGCCAAATCTAAAAGGAAAATAACTCCAATATTTTGCTTTTCTGCTTGCAGTTATAATCTTGCAAGGGATGTTTTTCCAATCAAATAGATGGGACACACATTCAGTCAAATTACTGCAGGACATCATCACTAAAATAGATTAAAATACACTGATGGTGTCAGTTTGGGAGGTTTCAGTGCTTTTGTCTGACACTACTACTAAATCTCTACTAAATGTGGCCTGTGAACCACACAAATATCCAACTTCACACTATTTTTGCAGCCCTGAAAGAAATTAGTTATCAGAATTTCCGATTATAGCAAAAAAACTTGGGTTTCAAGAGAGTTTCAGAAACAATTAAGTTTTCAGTCTGTGGCCTGTGGAGGCTTTAGAGCCCAGAGATGGTTTCAGAGGTGTCCATGGATGATTATTAAGGAAATTCAGTTCATTCTTTGTATAGCAATGGATTCTTTAGGCTATTGAAGAGTTTAGTCCTTTCTGTATTTATGCAAAGGCTCCCACAGGTCAAAAACCTAGAAAATTCAATAAATTAAGATTTTCCCCATAAGATTATGTGATTGCATAATAACAGAATTTCTCTTTTTTTTTTTTTTTTTTTTTTTTCTTTTTTTTCCTGAGATCTTTCTCATTTGGACAAGGCTTCCGGAGCAAGGTGTGCTTATATTATTAGTGTTGTTCTTTGACCTCAGCAGAGCTGCAGCAGCATGGAAGGTCTAAAGGCTTGGTGAGAACAGGATGGACACCACATGGCATCCTGCTTGGCATCCAGACAGGATTAGTGTCTGCTGTAGCTCCTAAGTCGTATCTGTGGATATCTAAACTCACAGAGTGGGATTCAGTCCAAAGTCAGACTTTTTTCATCCTTTGACTCCTGTTTTTGCAACTGTGGAAACGTACATAATGCAAAAATACAGCCAAATGTCTGCTCTGAAGTAGTTTTCTTCCTTGGGAGCTGAATATTAAGGGCTGTATTAGATGTGTCCCTTTCAAAATCTGGAACTACTGGCATTAGTTAAACCTCTGGAGTTTAACCTCTGGAAGAGACCTTGAGCAGAAGGCTCAGGACACACCCACATCTCTTAGACACCCAAAGTGAAGATTTCTTCTTTTAATCTTGTTTCTCCACTTTGCCTTTTTGTTCACAGGAGAGAAATGAGCAATTTTAGAGGACAAGTATCAAACATTTTTGATGTCTGCTCCAGGGTGAGATGATTCACACTTTGCAAGTGGCTGTTTCTCTTCTGCAGGACATCTCCCTGACCAGATTAGAGACAGATGCTGACCCTGAGGAGGTCTGGATAGAAATGAATTTTCCCTGGCAAATTTTCCCAGTCACTATTGTTCTTGTCTCATGCATGCTGAGAAATTATAGTCTTGAACAGCTTTGAGCTGGCTCCTGTTGGGTGTTACCAACCATATTTGGGGAAGGTGGATGTCTGTGAAAGAGTTAGGAGCTCTCATGGAGAGTTTTCAGGACGCTTTGTTCTCCCTGTCAGATTGTGTCCACACAACCAGCACTTCTGTGTCCAGGAACAAACCATAGTAACAAAAAAATAAAACAGAAAGGATTTTACCCTCTGATTTTAGCAGTCAGGCACATGCAACCAGTTCAGAATTGCATTTAAGAAGAAGTTAGGAGGATGTGGAGGATGCGGTAGCAGCTGAGGATGCTCTGATGTTAATGATGCTCCGTGTATATCTGTACTAAAGAGCTAAGTTCAGCTAAATACACATTGTACTTTGTGTATGAAAACACACCAGCAGAGCTTGAACAATGTCTTGAACCTCATGGTCTTTCACCTTCTTATGATTCAAATTGCAATTTCCCATTGGCTTTCTTTTGGGGAATTCATCCATGTGGAGAATTACTGTGTGATATGACACTGTGTGATATGACACTCTTCAGTGTCTGAAATTACTTAGGCTTCTGCATACGCCTTTCCCAATGGACTTTGTGCTTGCAGAGAAGTCTCAAGAGGCCTTTGTGTATTGGTATAATCTGTAAAAATACAAATATTTGGTGTGTTTATTCTCTTTCCCTTCTACTTGTCAATTTAGTGGCAATGCACCCTGCTATAGCTCTGAGAAGAACCAAGCTGTCGGATGAAAAGCTGTATTTTGGCTTTTGACTGTGTCAAGGTACAAAGTTACTGGCCTATTGGGTCTAATACTGACCTTTTTTGGTCAAAATTGGTTTAATTGGTAATGGGATCTGGGGTTATTCAGCTTTGTTATGAGGTGGAAACACAGATATTAACTGCTGCTTTCTAACCTTTTTTTTTGTGTTTTGAGAAATTGTTTTTAACATGTATACTGCTGTAGATGACACAATAAATGTATTATCATTTTGTAAAAGTCTGTTCTGATATAAAATTGCACCAAAGAAAACTTTTTGTCTGTGAACTTACAGGGTAGTGTATTCTTTTCCTGAAGTAGAAGCTTTTTGGGCTAAAAGGGTTCTTCGTGGGAAGGAGACCCTGGAATCTTCTGGCAAAGTCAGTCCTGGACCAGCCAGGGGTGAGGTCTTTGCCTTGCAGTGTTCCTTCTCCATAAACCACTGGTGTTTATCTCCCTGCATCAGTATCAGGCAGAATTGTGGGCCAACATCACCAAACCAAATGTAACACACTCCCTAAAAACCCCTGTGCCTCTGGGTTTGATCCACAGGAGACTAAATATTACTCCTACAGGGTATAAACAGGAGCAGAAATTCTATTATCCTCAAACAAAGATGTTGCCAGTGGCCAAAAGTGGAAACAGCTTGGTCTCTTTAACACCAGATGTGCTTCAAGGCTTCCTTTCTTTTATAGCCAAAGCAAACCTGAAGGGTTTTATCATCAGGATAATTTTTAAAACAGCAAGTAAAAATTTTACAGGAGAACCAGAGCACACAGCCTCGAGCTGCACCAAGGGAAGTTTAGGTTGGATACCAGGAAAAAGTTTTTCACAGAAAGGTGATAAAGTTCTGGAATGGCTGCCCGGGGAGGTGGAATCACCATCCCTGGGTGTGTTTAACAAAGCCTGGATGTGGCACTGGGTGCCAGGGTTGGGTTGAGGTGTTGGGGCTGGGTTGGACTCGATGATCTTGAAGGTCTCTTCCAATCTGGTCATTCTGGGAATTCTGTGAAGTACATTCAAACTCCTAAAACAGAGGATTCCCCAGAAGATGAAGTATTTCTGATATTTTCCCCATCTTCATCCCTCAGTTGCCATAAACCTTTGCCTGTCCCTCATGAATCCCCCACACAGGCAGCATCTTTTAACTCATTGTTTGACCAAAGTACAGGTATTTGTAGCTGTGTGCTTTGATGGGAAAATGGACACACCTTTAGTGAATTTGGGGTCAGAGATGTGTCAGGGAGCAGCAGGGCTGGAGATCTCCACCCCACAGCATCACTGAGGCAGGACCTGGGAACAAAGGGAGCCAGGAGCACGTGGGGGATTGGGAAGGACAGGGCAGATCTACGTATTTTCATTTTTGCTATGTTTCAAATCATTGTAAATGCCCTTCACATGGATTTCCACCTCGACCTGAGGCAGCCTCAGCCCTGTTTTTTTTTTTGCAGGCTGGACAATTGGGCACAGGATGTGTCCCCCCTTCCCACCACGTGCAGAATGGCTGCACCAGTCAGTGTCTCCCTAATCACAGAAATCAAATCAAAAAGCAAATGTAGAACAGGGAATCTAGAAAAACTCCAATTTCAAAATGATTTGTGTAGCCTAAGTGATTTTTTTTTTTTTTTAGACAGAGAAAGAAAAGGCACCTCCAAAAGTTTTTTAGCCACTCTACAAACCCCATTTAAATATTCACTAATTCAAAAACAAAATAAAACACAAGAGCACATTTGCTCCTAATCCTAGACACCTGATTTCAATGAGGAGAACTTAATTTATCCAAGGAGCAACTACCTTGAATTCCGTTGTATTTTCTGCAATTGAACAAATCCTCCTCAGATACTCAAATAATTCTTGCTCTGGGTGCATTAGGCAGCCTCAGTGAAGTTCTCAATGTCCCAAACAGGTAAAGCTGCCTGCTGGAAGGATTTCTTTTAATTTGGAGCCAAATCAATCAAACTTTCTGAAAAAAAAAAAATCTTGCTGACATTATCAGAGATAGAAATCTACTCTCAATTAGAAATTTCAGTTACCTTAACAAACTATCTTTGCTTCCGCACCATAAAAAACAGCTGGAAAAGTAGATTTTGGTATTTTCAGGGTGTCATGGAGTTTGTAAAGGGATTTAAAAAGAATTCTTGGAGAGTTAAACTCTGCAAAAGACAGCAGGGGATTAGAGGAGGAGAAAGCAGCTGATGTAATTTAATGATCTCTTGCAGCTGCCCTTTGGGAGTGATTTAAAACTCATTCAGGAGAGGTTTGGGAGCCCTGCCTGGCTTTGTGGGCTGCACACATCCAGCTCCAGGAGGTGGCAGTGGCTCCACACGGAACAGTTAAACACGGCTTGGGATGCTTTTCCTGCCTTCCCAACCTTCTGAGAAGCAAAACATCCCTGCCCGAAGCATTCCCGACTGATAAACACACCCACACGAACTCAGGTGTGCCACCAAAAAGGGATCAGGGTTCTTTTCACAGCCCAAATCAAATATTTCTCCAGGAAATTTTAGCACTTCCCAGGATTATTAAACTTTTATTTTATAAAGCCTCAAGTGAAATACCCAAACTGACACAAAATTAAATGTACAAACTCAAATGAAATATCCAAACTGACACAAAATTAAATGTACAAACTCAAATGAAATATCCAAACTGAAATAAAGTAAATGTACAAACCCACAACAGCTGTAATTGCCACTTGCATTTTATAGATGTACATCATACATTTTGTGTACCAATTCTCATTACTATGCTCAGCAACAAAACACAGGAACTGAGGTGACTTTTACAAGTAAAGCTGATAAAAAAAGTCAGAATAGACAAAATTACTCCTTACAACAAACATATGGCATTATGACAGATGAGTTAAATGCCTAATTAATAAATAAGTTAATTGAATTATATTTATAGAAGCCTGGACAATTCACCTCTGCTCTAACAGAGCTAGAGATGAAGCACCTAAAATCAGCAAAGAGATTTCCAGGAGTCAAATGTTTGCCGACCTAAATAATTAACCAAGAGCAGAGCAAACTGAGGGACTGGAATACAGGTTTTTTTAAAGCTGAATTGATCTGGGACTCAGACAGTGAATGGCAGGCTGTGTCCTCCAATCCAAAAATGCAGGTTTTCCAGGGAATGCTCCTGTCTTGACCCATCTCAGGTACCTCCTTGCCTTTTCTTTGCTTTTGGAGAGGTTGAGGTGGAGTCCAGCTCAGTCCTGATGAAAGGGGAAGTTCACCCAAAAAAGAATGGTGCAAAGGTGAAATCTTTGCCATTATCAGCAATCCCACTCTGGATCTGATTATTATATGAGCTGTCATCTCTAATGTAAAAATTGCTTTTGGAGATCTGGAGGAGAAGAAAATCCATCTATCAGCAAAGGATCTCTCTTTGAGGTGTCCCATTGAAATATGAGACCAAACAATTGCATTTTTTCTCCTAACACTGCAAGAAGAAATTATTGTGACATTGCACAGCTATGTGGTTGTCTCTGCTGAAGGGCCTCAGCAACTTTCTCAAGAGCTTCTTGGGCCTCAGGTGTGAGGGTTCTGGGAGATGTAATGTTTTTCTTCTCTCAATAAGTAGAAAAATGGTGCAAGTTCATCATTGCTGAGCCCCAAAATTGGCCTGATCCCATTGATTTCTCCTAAAAGCTGCTGCAAATCCTGTAAATTGCTGACATTGGTTCTGAGTTGTATATTTTGTGGCCTAATTGTTTGCTCTGGGATTCCCCATCCCAAGTATTTCCAAGGTGAGATTTCTTGGACTTCCAGTCCTGTATTTTGGACTTCTGCAATCATGCTACAGGAGCCTCTTGCATTTAATCCATCCTTCAGTTCTGTCACTTCACTGGGTGTGGTGATAACGAGCTGAGAAATGCTGGGCAGGACTGAGACTTCAGTCCTCTAAAAGCAAAATTACAAAAATTTTTTAATTTAAAAAAGACAAAATTACCCTTTATTTGGGTGTCTCACTGATTGATCTTCCAGGTTTTGGACGTCTGCCCCACAAAACAACATCTGGGCACTAAGATTCGGTCTGTAAGTTATTCTGAGCACAAGGTAGCCCAGCTGGCATCTGGCATTGGGTTTGCTCTGATTTATTCCTTCTTACATCATCTGCCTAATATTTGGCTTCTCCATATTTTTATTTGGACAAGAAAGGGTTTGGGATCTTCTGTCCTAATTTAATCTCTTTTCAATAAGCATAGAAGAAAAAAAAATCAAGCAGGTATTTCGTGTCACGGTTTGAGTTTCCTTTTAAAGCAGAGTACTATTCTATAGGTAAGTGCTTGTCAGGTGTCTGCTTAATTTCCATTAGAATGTCTCAAGACATCTCAAAACAAGGAGTAAAACACCAAAAATCCTTATGGCAAAGCTTGGGCAGCAAATAACCCTTTTAAATAATGGTTAGGAATCATGGTCTTGGAAACTGGAAATTTTGGAAAATGCTAACAAAGATAGGAAAAATATTCTGGGCCTCAGAGGAGTTAATGTTTTAGGGTTTGGTGGGTTTTAGGTTTTTTTTTTTTGTTTGTTTGGTTGGTTTCTTATTTGTTTTGTTTTGTTTGCTAATCCGTAGATTCACTCTAGTTCAAAGTCTGGCTTTTCACAACAAAACAAGGGTGTTTTATGCTTCAGGAGAGAGAGAACCAGGGTTGTCTTGCAGATCTGGGCCAGGTGAGAAAAGAAGCAGCTCCTGCTCAGGACAGGGAATTTACAGAAGGCTCCTTGTGGGAAATGGAAAGACAGAAACTTCCACAGAGCCAGGAGGGTTTGATCTGCAGCCTCGGAAGGAGCTTGGATTGATGTAAAATAAAAGTACACAGACATTAAGTGGAAAAATCATACATTTATGTTTCTGTGGTTGTAAGAATCTGCTTTAAGTAAGTGAGAAGCTGTAGTGATTAAATGGTGAAGGGTGCATAATTTAGGGGTGTGGTTGTATGGAGTAAACTAAGAGTTTAGAAATTGTAACAGAAGCATATGTGCAAGTGTGACAGAGCCATTGGACAGAAGTGTCTGCAGTACAGGAGAAGTAAATAAAGCAAAATAGGTCAGAAAAGCAAAATAAACCTTGTAACGACTTTCTATTGAGTTAGAAAGTTCCATATTGTCTTGTAATAAAGAATTTGTGACTACTTTGAGCTATGGCCAGCTGTTTGCTCCTTTAAAATCTCACAGCCTCTAAGACTGATGTTTATCTGAGCAATAAATAGTTTTATTTTAGCCCCAAAATAATCCCATCCCTTCATTGTTAGCAGCGAGAGCTCCTGACACTATGGAAAGCCACAGAGGATCCAGTTGGCCACCTCATGAGTGGAACACTGCAGAGCCACAGCTGCTGGTCCTGCTGGGACCCCTCAGACAGGGGTGACACCATCCTGGAGCACAGAGGTTCTCCTTTTGGGGCTGATTTTGTCCAGCAGGGAGAGCTGAGTGACGTAGTTGACTGGGCTGGTTTCTCTGGACAAAGCCCCGTGTCTGTGGGTGAAGGTCAGGTACTCCTGGTACTGCCACTTGCACAGTTGTTTCTTCAGCTCAGTTTGAACCTACAGGAAGTTACAAACAAAAGAAGAAATTAAGGTTTAATGAACACTGGAGGTAAAATATGCCCAAAGGTCTGCATGAGTACTTAGCTCAGATAAACCAGGATTAAGCCTTAACACATTTTCAGAAGTATTTGAACTCTTCCTTTATTCCTTTTGAAAAAAACAGATTTAATTCAAAAATTAAGGGGATGGCATGTAGATGTACATTTGGCCATCGAGGCTGGTCACTGGCAATATTTATCATTTTGGTGGCCCCTGTTCTGCCTTAACTTTCCCTTTTAAGCACACAGACAACCCCTGAGTACAATTTCATGGATGGTTCTCTAGATCTTCAAGAATCAAATAACTAAGAGAGATTTCCTCCACCAATCCAGTATTCCAGCTCTATCCCAGCAAACTTAAGACCCTCCAGCACTCCTCATTTCATCCATACTCTTAACACCTTGCCTGGCAGCAGCCCAGTCTCTCACATTGTCACAGCCACTCAAAACTGAAGAAACACACACACAGAGAAAATAATAATTAGTTTTATGATTGCAAGGAACCACAACAGATGCACTGCCGAGTGGTAATGATCGGCCAAGCTGCTCCAGGAGCAGTTATCCCTAAGAAATGTGGAAAAAAGCCAACCCAGCTTCATCTTGGGCCAGAGATCAGGCTCTGCCTGTCCTGTTTTTTAACACCTTCTGGATTTCTGTGTTGTGAGGTACAATATGCAAGCTATTAAAAGGCTGTTGAAGCAATTAAAAGGCTGCTGGCAAGGAGTCTGTGATACAGAAGGCAAGTTGGAAGTAGAGCTTTCTATATTCACAACTAAGTGCTGAAGGCACTCTTTCAGAATGGCCATTATAAAATGTTTTCCTAAGTAACAAACATATTTTAGAAATTACACCTCCTTGGGTTGGGTTACTTTCACCTTGCACCTCCATTTAGCCATTCCTGGGAGGTGCTGGAGTGTGTCCAGTGAAGGGCAAAGGAAGGATTGGAGAGTAAATCCTGTGAGGAGCAGCTGAGGGGCTCAGCCTGGAGAAAAGGAGGCTCAGGGGGGACCTTCTTGGTCTCCACAACTCCCTGGGATGAGGTTGTAGGTGGGAGTTGGCCTCTTCTCCCAGGGAACAGCCTCCAGTTGTTCCAGGGGAGGCTCAGGTTGGACACCAGCAGGAATTTCCCCATGGAAAGGTTGGTCAGGCATGGGCAGGACCTTCCCAGGGAGGTTTGGAGTCCTCATCCCTGGAGAAATCCAAAGAAGGCCTGGAGGTGGCACTCAGTGCTCAGGGCTGGGGACAAGGTGGGCATTGGGAACAGGTTGGGCTTGGAGGGTTTTTCCAACATTAATAATTCCATGCTCTATGATAATTTTCCAAGTTTGAGCCACTGCAGTGACTGAGGCACCATTAATGTGTCATTCTCAACTGATTTATTCACTTTTCTGAGGATGAGATGAGGCTTTATGTTTTTTTTTTTAATTAGATTTGTTTGTTTCTTTTGGCGGAAAGCACCAGCAAATTTAGTGAGTGAGGTTTTTTTAATTATAGGCTCACTACATTCAACTGCAGGGAGTTTACCCAAATTCTACCAGTGTTATGAAAGCAGGAAAGAAAGTATTTGAACAAAAGTCATGATTGCATGAGCTGACCTGGAAAAGGGGAAAAAAGTGGGGGAAAACAAGGGGGGGAAAGGGGGAGAAAAAAAAGGGGGGGGAGGGGGAAAGGGGGAAAAAGGGGGGGAAAGGGAAAAAAGGGGGGAAAAGGGGGAAAAAGGGGGGGAAAGGGATGGAAAAGAGGGGGGAAAGAGGAGGAAGGGGGGAAGGGGGGAAAAAGGGGGGGAAAAAGGGGGAAAAGGGGGAAGGGGAAGAAAGGGGGAAATAAAGGAGGGAATAAAGAGGGTAAAAGAGAGGAAGAAGAAAAAGGGGGAAGGAGAAAATGATGAAAGTCACCATGAGAAAATAAATCTAGAGAAAGTGAGAAGCTCTACAAGCTCTCCATTGAGCTATCATCATGACAGCTATCAAACATAAATCAGGAGAAAACTCCCCTGACAGAAATTTTTTTCAGCAACCATTTTTAAAGGGTCATTGCTTCAAAGTTTATTTTGTGTCCTCCTGCCAGAACTGTATGAATACAAATAAAGTCAACAAAGCTACCAAGGGACAAAAAAGATACGGGGATGTCATGGTTTCAGGAGCAGATCAGAGACAGATCTGTTCTGAAAATAGGAAAAGAAATTAAAAAACAAGAGGGAACTGTGAGTTTTAAAGGTTTTGATAATCTCATGTACTTGCTACTCACCTCTGCATTTGAGAAGCAATATAGAAGAGCAACAACAAAACCCTAGGACAGGGAGGGTAGGGAGAGAAAAAACATGGATTTAAAATCTAGAATCAATAAGAGACATTGAGTTTGATTCACAGTGTGTGCAAGACAACAAAGACTGCATATTTCCCAGTTTTCTATTGGAGTTCAGGCAGTGTGACACTATTTATTGAGTTTTCATAGTAGAATTAAATTTCTCCATGGACTGGTGACATTTTATATTTATTATTGCCCTTGTACAGAGGCAACAAGGATTAACTTGCGGCTTACTGTATCCTACAAACAAATTCTCCCTCAGATAAGGCAAGCATGGATCAGGGATCATTTGCAACATGTGTCAATGAGGACAAGTTGTGGTGGGGTACAGGGGAAAGGGGGCAGGAAAAGAAATCAGCTGTTCAGTACAAAATATGCCACACACAGGCCTTGACCCTCTCAAATCCATGCTGTTGTTCTGAGTAGTGGAACAGCAAAATAAACAGTGAGATATTAACATGGTTCACTACTTCTGAAGGGTAAGGGCAGAGCAGGGGGTTATGTACTCTTATTTACCAGCCCTCTTATCGTTATTACATGTGAAATCATTTTCAATCAGTTCACCTTAATCCACAGATGGGTCTTTGTGGTGCTCTGTCATTGTTAATCAACAAACATAGATATTTTATCTATTTGGTGATTTTTCACATGAAGTGTGAAAAATGCATACTTTATGGTTGGCTTTTCACAAATATTACGATGAATATCATATGTGTAATGTTGCTAAGTTATGTTGTATTAATTCTCTTAAGTAGGGTGTTAAATATAGTTTTAGGTTCAAACATAATGTTAAAATAGAGACTATGTATGTGATGGGAGTTTTTTTTTTAGGAAGGAGATACTCGCTTCGAGGAACACCTGAATCTTCCAGGGAAAAGGAATTTATGGTTTTCTTATCAGAAGAAACTAATTTCTTCAGGCCTTGCTCAGACTTGAAGACACCATGGGGATAAAAGGAAACAGTTGACATAAGCAGACAGTTTCTTGTTTTAAATAGAATGTATGCATAACCATGAAGGATATATGAATATGCAACAGGCTATTATTTTAAGGGTGATTCCTTTGTTCACAAGTCACGCTTTTCATGACTTAGTGTCCGAGAGCAGCCGGACGTCCGTAATTCTTTGCTTTTTATCGTCTTGTAATTGTCCTAACTCTAAACTTTATTACTCTAATTGTATTAAAAACCAGGTGATTGGTGTTTTTCACGTGAAGTCTGACCCGGAGATTTCAAATAATAAGGGAGCAAGCAACAGAAGAGCTAATGAAGGAGTGAGATGGGATATGTGCCTCGAATTTGGATGCATTAATAAATCCTGCTGTAATAGCCAGCCTGAAGGGAGGTGGTACAGACCAAACATCTCAGGGCTGTTAAACCTTTTGTCCATCTTACCTGAAACGAGCCCAGGCCCAGCTCGATGTAAAGCCGAGCCTCCAGACCAGTGCTCTCTGGGAAAAATGCAAATACAATGTAGTGCACCCCAAAGAGAGGGATCAAAAGTAACGTGGACTTTGCAAGTCTCCTGGAAAAGCAAGAATTAAAGAAAAATGCACTGTTAGAAACAGGGAATGGTGGCAGCAATTGTGTGTTGGAGCATTTTAAAATTCAGAGAGCAGCTCTAAATGGAAGCAGCTGCATGCAGAGAAGTTGTGGAAAGGTCCTGTGACTGCACTGCTGGGATCCCCAATGGTGTGAGGGGTTTGTAAACAGCCAGGACCAGGCTTGGTTACAGATTTATCCTGTTCCTGCAAAGGATTTAAAGGAAATTATCTGCATCTTTCTCTATGTGGCCATTTGTGTGGAAAGGATGAGAGCAATCACCTGACATTTAGTGTTTACACTTTCAAGCTTTTGTAGTTTCATACTTTATTATTTTACTTTTCCCTTTGTTCCCAACATATGCATCCCACTCTTTTTGCCCTGAAGTAAAAATGACAGGTGATATTTGGGCTGAAAAAGAAAGTTCACATTGTAATTTCTTCTCTTTCTATTAGAAGAGGAGTAGAACATTCTGTTCTCCTACCCATAAAAAATTTCTTGCAGCAGTTAGAACAGGTCAATCCTAAAGGACAAAGAAATACTTACACAAAATGGCTTGAATGGCTCCCTCCTCCCTCCTGGGATTTCAATTTAAGGACTAGAATCCTGATCACATTAATGAATATAATAAAGTTAATCTGTAAAGACAAGACAAAATCTGTAAATTTACTACAATCTAAGACATGCCTCTAGTTGATACAAAAACTAAAAATCCCCACTTTTAGGAACTGCACTGCTATAAACCAATGCTCATCTCTTCTCAGCTCAGATCAATAGCTTTAGAAATAATAATTCTATTTTCCACCAATATATAGTTGTAGATAAAAGATGGTGAAAGTTGCGTTGAATTATTGTAGACCTACAAATCTTAATATCATTTTATGTCTGATATTAATGCCTTGTACTTCTGGTCAGAACTTAAAATTTAGATTTTAAATTTAGATTTTAAATTGCCTAAAAAAGTCCCCCCATTCTCATCATTGTTTATGACAGGGATTATACCAGATACAGACCTAAAAACCAGATTGCTCCCTCCCTAAATTCAGGTGGTATAAATCTGTGGATAAGGGAGATTTTTTTGTCTTTAGTTACAATCATAAGAACTCATTTTAAAAGCACACTAGATAAAATTATCTCTATGCAGGAACTCAAGGGAAAATAAAAAACCTTACTAATACAGTCAGCAGGATGGGGCCTTTGATGATCCATAACACCACTCCATTTTCATCATCATCCCAACATCTGGAACAACAAACAACACCAGGTTTTTTATCTGTCCCATGGGAGCTTCCCATAACACATAAAAGCACTTCTGCCACAGGAAAGGAAAGTGGTGGACACAAAGTTTTAAATCACTATCTAAATGTCCCTGGTTTCCCTGTAGTCTAATCTAAAGAAAATTTAATCAGCAAGAATCACAGATTGAAGAACCAAAGCAAAGTTAAAAAACCCCACATTTGTATTTTTAAGCTTCTTTCCTGCTCTTCTTACCACTCTCAAGTCAACTTCTTATTCAACTCTCCTGAGTTTTGAGCAGGTGGGTATAAAATAATATCTTTTCTACCTGATGTGAAATGATCTGAAAGCCTTCAGGATAGCTTACAGCAAAAAATCTTTCTATCCGGGGCTCAAGTTAAAAGATACAGATAAAAATAAAACAGAATAAAAATAATTAAATGGAAACAAAAGAAGAAATTACTGGAGACAACACTGATTGTTTGAGAAGTTCTCATTTGAAGAGTTAGTTATTTATAGTTGATTTATACAGAAACAGCAATTTTTTTTTAAATACAATTATTTCAAGAATTGGGCATTAGGGAACTTAAATGAAATTTCAATAGTTAGTATAATATCTCCAGGTTTTCTTACCCCATGTATGGACATAAAAATCACAAAACTTAAAAGTGTTCTTTCACTTTGAACATGAGATACAACTTTGAATCATGAGAGTTTTTTCCCCTTACCTTTTTCTGTACACATCTTTTTTCCCCCTCAGAAAAACAGAACACCATAAAAAATAGGAAATTTTGTGTTCCTTATCCCAGCTCTGACTTACCCAGTGTTCTGTTGATGGATTCTTGTGAGGACCCAAGCAAACATAACAGCAGTGGGAGCTCCTGAGCAAACCAACAGGAACACAAGAATTGGTTTGAATATCCTGCCCCATGGGATCTTTATTCCAGTAGGTTCACAGTGCAGCAGGTTGGATTAAAACTCAATTTAATTTATGGGTCAGACAATTTTCAATAACTTCATGAAAGAATTTAATTTGCAGTTCAGGGAAAGGAAAAAAAGAAAGGAATAAAAGGGCAGGAGAATGAAATCATAACAAAGGAGAAGAGGGGATGTTGTGAAACCACATTTTCAGAAATAAATGTAAAGAATTACTTGAAGGTTTGGATAGGAATTACAAGCACTTATGAAGCTCCAGTAAGCATGTATTTATCTGGGGCTCTTTCATCTTATGGATTGTGGCAAACAAACATCCTTTGCACAGCAGCTGGAAGAGTTCATAATTTTGTCCTAAAGACTCTACTAATCATCCCAGACCAACCAGTTGATAGGAATTCCATGAAAATTTAACTGAATCCAGTGATTTCTAGCCTCATTTTATCACTGCTTATCCTTCTGTCCTCCTACATTTCTGACTGGGTTTTTTTTTAAAGGCCTATAAAGCAGAAATTGCTTTTTCTCTCCTCCTGTGGAACTGAATTTCCAAAGACTAAGTGACTTTCAAAGCTGACACAAAAGGGACTCTAATGTGAACCAGGTGACATTTTCCCTGATTATTCTATAGAAATATAGGGAATTTCTTTCTAAGTGTCATTTGAGATGTGCAGGAAGGGCTCAGAATTTGTCCTTCCAAATTTCTGCCCTTTGCTCAAGTCCTTGAAGCTGGGACCTTGTTAAATTGAAGTTGGCTTTTTACTTAATGAAAATAAATATTTCTTTCCACATCACCTAAGACGTGAGTTACCCCTGAGGTATCTCTCACCTTCCATTGATTGCAAAAGGAGATGAGGATTACCATATTATTAATTGAGTTGTTTGCTTTCTTATCTCAAGTTGGCCATGATTAATCAAAGGCTGAGAGTCTACTTTCAGACAACCCTATTTGGAATAGCTCCAAAAAAATTTAATTACATTAAATGAAGTCTAAAAATCTGAAGGTGAAGGATAAATTAATATTTATTCAGGATAATTTGGATTTCACTTTTAAGTCAAAAAATGTCACTGTAACTACTCAGTTTGGGTGCTTGCATTTTAGATCAGCCAAGGTGAGACATGGGAATATCTGAGAATCACAATAAACAATTCTGAGCAGTGAAAGAAATTTATTTCACATTCCTATTCTGAATATCAGAGATAACTTCAATTGCTGTATACTGTGTAATCTCAAAAGAGTCCTTAAAGTCAGGAGATCTCCAAAAATAGAAGAAAAATAAAATTGTTTGATTCCTAGGCGTGGACTGACACGATTTAAGATTAATCTGTCAAATATTGCTTGCTAAAAACAAAAGGCAACTTAGTCACCCAAACTTCTTTAGTCAGTGGAGGAATTTTACGTATTTTTAGGATATTATCCAGCCACATCACTCATCCTCTTGAGGCCAGGACTATTCACCACCATGGTGCAAATAACTAAGATATAAAAGGGAATAAAATGATGCAGCAGTACTGGATGAGCGGGCAACTTCCCTCAGAAAAGTGTCACCTTTGACAGGCTCCTTTTACCTCAAAACACAGATTTTATCCAGTTCTGCAAGCAACCAGAAATACTGAAGGGCACGAAGAGGAAGGGAATACTAACCCCAGCCAGTAAATATGAACCACCACACAAACTTCTTGTTGGAAACAAAAGTCAGCAGCAGCAGGGTTTGCAGGTAGATCCCTTCGATGAGAAGCCAGAAGAAATTGGCTAAAATACTGAATTGGAAGAAGGCCACAGCAGCCTTACAAGCAACCTGGAAGTGCAGAGTAAAAAAAAAAAAAAAAAACAAACTTTTAGGCCTATTCTTGTAATGGCTGGTTTCTATAGAGCTGTAGGCAAAATTCAATGCTGCCACACAAAATGAAGAAACAACAAAATTTCCATAAGTTTAGGGTAATTTAAATTGACTTTATTTTAGATTTTTGAAAGGGAAATATTGAGGGGTTTTATCTCACAGATTAAATTCATTACTGGTGGAAATTGTTAGATCTTCAATAAAGTCAACAGACTTAAATATCAAAGCTGAGTGCAGCCTTAGCACTTGGTCTTTGGGTTTACATAATATTGTTTGTTTAAAGATTTCAGTTTTAGCAATAGGAGAAATAGGATGAAAATATCTCCCTGTTGCCTTCAGGAAAAGAATTAAATGTTCAGTCAAGGGTGAGAGAGAGGGGAGGTTCAGTACCGTTGACATGAGGCAGTGGTCCATGGTTTCATCTGCAAACAAAACAGCATCTTTGGTGAAAACAGCAACTGCTCTCAAGATAAAGGAGACAAACAGGTGCATGTGGATGTAATTTCGTGTGCAGTGGAATTTTCTGGCATGGAAAGAGAAAAATAAAAATTGTTCTTTGAGAGAAGTGTCTCACAGTCTCATCAGAAGTCAAAGAGGAGCACACAGACACCTTGCAAAGTAATAAATGATCTGTTACTATTTGAAAGGCAGCGAGACAGGAGGGAGCAGAGAAGCTGTTACCTTTTTCATCTAATAAAAATCCCAGGATAATTGTCCTTGAATCACCACACATTTAAAGGCAATGCCAGAATCAGAGAGTAACTGTGGGACTCTTGGGCTGGATTATAATACCTCTTAATTATTTTTAATAATATTTTTTGTTAAACAAGCTTGCATCAGGATTTCCAGCCCCTTTGTGCCAAAGAAAGGATTGAATTGGTGTCAGCCACATGTTATGGGATGGTTCCAGAGCATTGCCCTGAACTGCATTAATCTGAGGAGGAGCAGCTGAGGGAGCTGGGAAGGGGTTCAGCCTGGAGAAAAGGAGGCTCAGGGGGGACCTCCTGGCTCTGCACAGCTCCTGACAGGAGGGGACAGTTGGATGGAGCTGGGCTCTCCCCCAGGTAACAAGAGGAGAAGGCCCCAGGTTGTGGCAGAGGAGGTTGACATTGGATATTAGGGAAAATGTCTTTATGGAAAGTGTTGTCAATACTGGCACAGGCTGCCCAGGGAAGTGGCTGTGATGCCTTAAGTTTTAGCTTTCATATTTTCCAGATTCTGTACTGCATTCTGAACTTCATATAAAGTGTTAGCAAGCTCTCCTCACAGTTCAGTCACACAGAACAATCCTTTTCCAGCCTGATAACCAAGGACACCATTGCAGCTTCAGGCCCAAAGAATAAAAAACAGCAGTGAACTGAGGAGAGCAATCTGGGAGGATGGGACTGCATAACCTGGAGGTGTAATTGGACAACTAACCCCAATATGGAAATGGACCAAACTTATAGAAGTGTGAAAACTCGCGCTCCCAGAGTCTGTCTTTGGTCCATTTTGGGTGGAGCCTTGGCCAGGCTCTTGTGCTGCCCAAGGTGCATCCTTTGAAGGCCTTTTTAATAAATCCCTACTTTATTCCTTTAACTCTGTCTACTCTCTGTTCCAGGTAGCCTCTTTAGGCATCAGTTGAGTCCCCATCTCTGTGGGAATTTAAAACACACTTAGCTGTGGTGCTTGGGGTCATGAGTTAGTGATGGACTCAGCAATGCTGGGTTAATGGTTGGACTTAATGATCATAAATGTCTTTTCCAGCCCAATATTCCTGTGACTCCCTTTCCGTAGACTGCCCTGTGCACATTTTGCCTTGAGCTGAAAGAATCTCCTTCAAGGTTTGGACACATCAGCCTCGTGCTCCTGGGTCCCTCTGCAAGGGCCATGACCTCTGAGACTGCCAACCCACTCCAGCCAGGGAGCTGCTCTGTGCTCTGCTCAACCAAACCCCAGATCCACTTCCTAATAACCAACATCATCAAATGAAGCATTGAAATTTAATTAAATCTCTTTTTTATAGCTCTCAGTTATGGAAACAATGGCCTTTCATGGTGGGAATGGACAATTTAAGAATTGTCTGGTCCCAGGGCATGAGACAAAGTTTCTGCAGAGTCTGTCCTGATGTGCACTGTAGGAATGATTAAAAAATGTTAAAATTTAGCTAAAATTAGAACATTTCCATTGTATGGTGTCATTAAGGAGATTAAGAGAGATTGCCCAGCTTAATTGTTTTAACATTTGAAACACCGCAGCACGAGCAGAGAAGGACCCATCACCAAAGGAGTTATGTTTTAGAATGATTAGAAAACAACCATAAAAAAAAAATCCCACAAAACAAAAGCACAGAGGATCTGAGAGAAATTGTCTTAAGTCATGCTGAGAAAAAGCCCATTTATACTTACCTGAAGGCAGCAAAGACAATTAGAGCTGTAATGAGCGAAGTCATGGATGCTGCATAGCCAGCAGTGTAGACACACCAAAATGCAGAATAATAGGATTTCTGTGGGAAAAGGAGACACAGCCCAATGCAGGGGGTTGTGCTGGATGCACCCTGGGGTGCTCATTCCACTGGGACACATTTTCCTCGCTCAGTCCCACAATCTTTGCTTTTCATGCTCAAGTTCTGTTTCAGGATTTTCCCTCCACCACTCACAAAAGTATATTTCCTTTATTAAGTCCTACTTAACCCCACACAGGAGAGAAGTTTCACAGTCCACAGGCTCACCTGACCCCTCTGAGCATATTCTGCAGGAAAATATTAACTGTGATATATAAGCACCTTTTCTCATGTCAGTACATAAAAACTCTGGAGCACTGAAACATTCTGGTGGGAGATTTGTGAATCTCTTACTTAAGACCTGGGCAAAATTCAATAAGTATTGATTTTCATAAACAGCTATAGCTGAAAGAGAAATAAAACTCTCAATTTGCAGGCGAGAAAGCTGAAAAATTGATAGTTACATCAGGTTGTGAAGGTAATTAAAAGCCAAGGAAATCACTTCACAGTCCTTAATTCTCTGGACAAACAGTTCATTACTTGCTGTATATTGTAGCACTGTAAAATCTTTATAACTCACTTGTTTTCAATTAAGATCTATATCCTAACAAATCCTAATCCTATGTCCTAAGAAAAATAAAGGTTGTTTACTTGGCTTTACCTATGCAAATTTTATTCTGATTCACTACAAGATCACCTAATTATTTAAAATCCCAAGGCAGTAAATTCTTTGAACCCAGGCAAATTTCCTCTTTATAAACCCAGTGGACACTTTGTTCTCCAATTGATCCCAAATCTGTTTATACAAAAGGCTGCAATTCTAGATTGAGACAACAAATTAGCAATTTTAAATAGATCCATAAAGAGATCTTGTAACCCTGACATGATTTGAATCATCCTGGTGTTTCTGCAATAGTCCTGATCATTTATACAGTATTTTCAAAACACAGATGAAAATTAGAAAAGAGGTTATTTCATTTAATGATAAAGTGTTTCAATTATTTTATCTGGTTTTGTAGGATGGATTAAGAAACCACCCTAAATATAAAAGACATCAGAAGTGCTCACTGCACATACAAAATACAAAGCAAGTGGTTCTATTAGGACACAACTGAGATTTTCTACTCATTTCCCTATGTGTGCAGTGCAGCAGAGATTGCTGATTTTATCTTCCTTTTGTAGTCAAACATTGTGGATTTGACTGGAATTACAAACTAAACACAGGCAGAGCACAGACAGCAGCTCTGTGCAGAAATTTGCTATCATTGTGAAATAGAAATACAGTTGCTTGCTGATTTTAGCCCAGACCAGCCAGAAATTACACCTGGTTTAGAATAATCCAGGGACTGTCTGGAGAAAGACACCTGGAGAGTGAATTTAGCCCTGTGGGAGAAACCCATGGGGGCTGGAGATCTGTGCTCTAGAATACAAATCCTTTTATGAATTTGCATCCCTCTGAACTGTTAAGATTATTTCCAGCATCTTTCTAGAAGGCTTTTAAGTGTTTATTTAAAAGCATTTAATTTAAGTGCATTTTCTAAGCATTTATTTAAGCTTTAAAATTTTATCTTTCCCCAAAGTGTAAAGTACAAATATTCTTATTTATAGAAAGTCATTGAGCTCTAGATATGAACACCAGTATGATGAGGAGGAATGTGGAAATTTAAATCATATCAAGATGTGGATGTGAAAGAAATTCTGAAGCTTAATTGAGCATGAACAGTGATTTTCAGAGAGGAAAAAATATTCACTCCCTACTCCACTGAATACCTGAGATAAAGCGTGGAAATACTCAGTGGCATCCAAGAATTCTGTCCTAAGGATGTGTGTTGACCACCAGGCTATAAAGTTAAGAAATATTTTTTCTATGACTCAAATTAAATCTGGAAAAGAATACAAATAGGAATTTTGTATTTTGCAAATTTGTAAGGAAAATTCTGGAGTTTTGTAAGGAAAATTCCTTTGGATCACAAATAGGAATTTCGTATTCCTATTTGTGATCCAAAGGAATTTTCCCTGAAAAAAGTCCTTGAGGACTGGTGGGTAGGGTTTCCCTGGGAGATGTGTTCATGATGAGGATTTACATCACCTCTGTCAGAACCCAAATCTTAGTTTGGACAGGTGAACTAAGCATGAGTTTAACCAAGAGGAGGCTTTTGGTTGAAGAGGAAAATCCTGACTGCTGCTCACTTGCTTTATGTTAAGCCTAATTTGTTAAACAATTTGTAAGTATACCAAACAGTTTTGGGTTCAGCACTGAAAATGGGCCATTTTCAGCTGTGTGGACATCCAGCTACTCAGGAGATGCTGCTCTGGAGATGTTCAGGAGCAGGAAATGAATCTCCCACCTGATCCTCAGGTCCTTTACTGGAGCCTTCATCAAAGCCACAGGCAATGGTGTATGGTGGGAATGGCTCTGACCAATATTCCTCCTGTGTACAGTTCCTCTGAAGGAAACCTTCAATGGGAAAACACAGCAAAAAATTAATTAGGGGTGCTGGTGCTGCTGTTCTTTAAGTTTTGATGAGTAGCAACAATTTCTTATTACCCCTTTGATTTCTAAGTTAGGGACTTACAGGTTGAGTCATGTTCAGTGAGATTAGCTATAAGAATGACAATAGTCTCTCTATCTATCCTTTAAAAAATTGAGAGACATGTTCCCAGTCATTTCAAGATGCAGTGGGACTTGTGCATTTCATGTGGGAAATCAACTCTGCAAATCCATTCTTTCCATAGAGGAAATCAAATTGTATATTTACACATATTTTGAGATTTTGAGCAAGCCCTGAGCCCTCTTTTCCAGACTGGAAGCATCATACAAGTTTTAATCTTGGTCTTACTCTGACTGGAGAATTGTGCTGGCTGACACCAGGAGGTTCTTTCTAATATTAATTAATGTACAGTTCTATAAATCAGTGATCTAGGACATATTCCTTCATAAATTTAGCAGCATGATGCACTTGTCCATTGTATTTACATCACCAAAGGGATTAAAGAATTCAGTAGAGCACAAAACACAAAACACAAGAGTGTCAATATTGACCCCAAACCGAGATATGTATCTGGATAATTACTGAATGCTGACTGACATAAGAGCATTGTCATAAATCATAAATCAGTACAATATGAAGGAATCCTCAACAACTAGAATTCATTAAAAATAAAATTTAAAAAAAATAGCGATAAGAATAATAGGAAAAAAAGTCTTGCCAAGGGTACTGGTGAATTCTTCAAAAAATCGTGGGCAGGGAATTTTAACCACTTCCCCAAAAGTGGCTCTGGGCCAGCAGGTTAAGCCATCCCAATCTCTGGCACATCCTGTAAAAAAAAAAACAAAAACCAACAAAAACCAAACATGTCTCTAAATAAAGAAAATCACAGAGAACATCACACATTTGATCCTCCATAATGAGATTGTCTGTGGCTTTCCCACTCATTCACATGCAAGAAGAGCCACAGCAGAACCTGCAGCTCTGCAAATGAAAGAGTGGAATGTTTTCCTTTTCTCCTTGAATGCATCCTTGCTCACACTTGGTATTCCAGCTGGACCTTCCCCTCCTTATCTCATGGGAGAACATACCTGAAATTCAAGCAGACACAATCTGAAAGTCGAATCAATTGGAGCTCTTTTCTGTTGTCAAAACAAAAGCCATTGAAATAAAAGTATTGAATAATGATTAGCACTTGATATTTCTCATTACTCCTTTCTCATTACTTGAGATTCCTTGTTACAGAGTCTAACTGAAATGCATCAGACTAAAAACTTAGCCTTAACCTCATTATTTCATGTTTAAAAATCTACCTATTTTACCTGGCTTATAGGAAATAAGGGCTGAAGTCCCAGTCTTAGGCATTCAATGTCATTTTTGTGATGGATTTCCAAAGGGATTAAATTCATCCCAAACTAGAACATCTCAGCATTATAAGAAATTACCCTCGGTGGGAGTGGGTCTGACTGCAGAATTCATGAGGTTCCCTAAAGCAGAGACTGCTGGCTGATGACACAGGGTGTGCTACAGGCTCTGAGCTCCCTCAAAAAGGTTTTCAGAAGTTTCAGTGAATCACAGCTTTGTCACAGCTGCATCACACTGAGACTCCGAGCTGTTGGCAATTGGGCGTGGGGGTAGCACAGAAAAATTGCCAGCATGTAAATGTGAAACAATAAAAAAAAAAGAAAAAAAGCATCAGGCTCTAACTAAAACTAATCTCTAGGTAGTCATAAGGGGGATATAAAGCAGGGGATTGGTTTGGAAGATGTTATTTTCTTCCATGATTCTTCTCTGCTGCCTCTGGGATGGATGACGAGGCAAATCTGAAGTTGTCACGTTGAAATGTGGAAGCAATACTTGCCTGTAGCTGAGCAAAGTTACTGATTTTCAAAAAGACAGTCCTAAGAATCTCCCACAGCATTATCCTCACATCACCCTCAGGAGGATGCAATTCCTGGTATACCAAATTTGCCAGGGAAAATAAAGACCCTCATTCATTAGCTGTAATTTTAATTGCCTCAAATATGTCAGCTAATTTCAGCTACGTTCCCTTTGTCATCAGCAGAAAGAGACAGAGCCTTCCACAGCTGATTCATCCCAAATATTGGTGCCTCCTTCCTGAGGACAGGATGAATCACACCCTGCAAATACCTAGCTCTCACTGATAATTACAGCCTAAACTCAGCTGCTAATTGTCAAATTTATGAAGCCAGGTAATATCAGTCCCACTTAGACATGCAGTGGCCCCTACACTTACACTCAGCAGCTGAAATGGTCCTTCTTAGAAAAGCTTGGCAGATTTGAGGGGCTGGGTCTAAAAATCTATTTCATTTGGCAATGTGGAGCTAAAAATTCTATTTGTATGACCTTGCGTAGGAACAGAACTTATATGTCTTAAATCTTAGAAATTATTGCTTTCCAGTCTCTTCTACAGTTTATAGCAAAGCAACTGCTGAGTGCAGGGGCTGAAAGGGAATTTTTCAGGCCAAGGTTTTCAAGAGCCTGGTGGTGTCCAAGTCACCTGAGACTCCACCAAGACAACTGCAGTAGGAGTTGACACCATGGATATGGATATTGAAGTCTTGTTCAATAATCCAGGAATTTTGAGACAGTGAAGGAAAAAACAAAAAGTGGAGTTAGGACTCCATTCATATGACCTATTTTACACATCTGCTCCAAAATTAGAGGAATTTCACCCTGGGTTCTGCTGGTGGCATTCACTGGACACTTCTCTGTACAAGAATAATATGGAACTACTTTAAATTAAAATCTCTGTCATACAGACTGATTCTAGCACAGATTCTCTGTGACTGCTGAAGTTTAACTCTACAAACTGTGATCCCTCTATTTTTATTGCTGAGCTCCTGAAACCTGAAACAAAAGCAGTGGACTTTTACCTATCTTAGTATAGCTTTATGCTCCGGATAAAATATTTGGGATAAATTAAATTTAAATTAAACTTAAATGTTATTCACAGTTTTTGGCTATTTACCAACATATTTACCAACAGGTCAAAATTTTTTTTTGCAATTTTTTCCCAGCTCTAATATTTATCCCAAATTATACTGGGAGAAAGGCTGTAAATACCAGAACAAATTTTTCATAAAAGTCTTTCCTTGTCTGGAGAACAAAAGTTGGAAAGGGGAGCTCTGAGAAGCTCGGAGTGAAAAAGGTTAAAGATTTTAAAAAAGTTTAACAGAACTCTCAGGAATTTTTATTTCTTTTTGTTACAAACAGGATTCTAAAACACATAATTATCTTTGTGTTGAAGAGAAAGATGCCTGGAATGACATCCTGTAAGGCAGGTAATAAATAATTTTTGAAAATGCCCAATTTATACCAGAATTTTTTTGTGGTGAGTTACTGTGTGTTCTAAATGCAAAATGTGTCCAAGAGATATTTTGGACTTTATTTTGGATTATTCAAGTCCAAAAGTGTGCAAAACAAAGTCCAAAATATAGCAAAAAAAATTATTAAAGTGTGTGAGAAACAGAACCAAATTAAAATAGGAAACTAGAAGAGGAATATGAAACATGGAAGTGATTGGAAATTCTGTAGAATAACATGAAAGACAAAGGAAATATTTTGGACTTAAACTCTGGTTTTCACCAGGCTGTTAATGGCAGATTTCCAGGTGGTTCCAATAATTCTATCCCAAATGCATGAGGTATCTTTGTCCCACAGTTCCTCTGCAGAGAACAAATATCTTAAAATTCATGGAAGTGAAAAATCTCACTGAGGTGGATTCAAAATTTTCTAAACAAAGCTGACCAGAATAAAGCTTGACTAAATTTTTGAAAGAGTCTGAACATTTTTAAATTCCATGTTATTTCTAAGCATGTTTCCAAAACCCCAGGGGAGAACACCTTACACAGCTTTCTAAATATATTTACAGGCTTTGTTTTCTGTTCAGTTTAGTTTTCAAAATTTGTATCACGCAATACACTTCTGAGCACCACCACAATAAATCTTTACAAGCAAACAAATAATGTCTAAAATTGAAAAAAAAAAATATTTTGAAGAACTGGGATTTTCTTTAACTTTTTTTTTCCCCCAAAGGATATTTCTACCAGATTGGAATTATTCCTAACGTGATACAACTTCAGTAGGGTCTTCAGTACCTTCTGTGGGAGTTTCTTTGGGGTTTTGGATGTAAATAAAGAGCACTTCAGTAATGTGAGACATTCCAAGCCAGGAGATGCCCATCAAGACCTTTACCTTTAAGATCAGGTGAGGCAGATTCGTTGTGTTCTGAGCAGAGAGCCTCCTCTTTGACCACCTGCTGGAATATTTTGCATTCTGGATGGATTCCCATAACCTGGTCAAGAGAAAGAAAAAATAAAAAACAACATAAAAAACCCCAAACAACCAAAACCAAACAAAACCACAAAAAAAAAACAAACAAAAAACCCACAAAAAAAAACCCCCACCAACCAACCAAAAACAAAAGGGGAAAAAAAACACACATACAAAAAAAACCCCAAAAAACAAAGAACTTCTGTGATCATCAGAATGAGAAAAGCCAGTTTGTACCTCATGATTTGTATCTTGAGGTCTATGAATGTGGAAAACTCCAGTTGAAGTTGTTTGTTTTGTTTCTTTTTTTTTTTTTTACAAATAGAACATATACAGCACCTCTTCTCCAATCTGGATATTTTTATCCCCTTTCCTTTGCAGTTGTTTCCCAGAGAACTTAAGTAATGGTCACAGTTTTTGGATTTTCATGTATTTCACCAACTGCCCAAAGGTGGATGAATCCACCAGCTGTGGGATTATTCACACCAAGTCTCCAAACTTAAATACAGCCTGACCACAGAAATATTTCCTTTCCATGACCCAATTAAAATTAAATACATTTATTCAAAGAATGGTAGTCTTGGCCATAATTTAATCTGAATGACAGAAAAATTCTCTGGATGTGTTGTCTGAGGATGTTGCACACACCTTAGACCGAGGAGCTTCTTCCATTTTAACAGATTAAGAAATGAGAAAAAATTAATGACTTGAATGGGAATCTTAGGGAATTTTTTTCTCTCAGAGATAAATGGAATCCTAGTTAGAAGTTGTTGAATGGGGTCTAAATTTGTCCTCTTAGTTACAGATATTTAGTCCCATTTATTGCCATGTATTTTGCTTGACCTCCATCTCCACCCCTAGAAAGTTTCATGTCCCCTGTAGTCCTGTATCATCACTCCTGTAATTGTGAGATGTTCTCAGTGGTCTTAATTACATTATCATTAATGTTCTTAATTAATGTTCTTAATAACCTACACAACCCCAAAAGAGCTTCCTCTGCAAAGGCAAAGAAATTCTGGGAAAGAAACTGCATGTCAGTGGTCTACATTTGATTTATCTCAGCTTCTTTTGCAGTCCTTGGGAATTTCAAAAATGTCTCTGTCCCCCAGTTGCATCTGAAGGATGTAAAACATCCTTCAGATGTAACCCAGAGTCCAGAAATGGTTGGTGCTGTTTGGGAAGTTTGAAGGTATTTCAGCCCTCTTGTGTAGACTCTGCATTAATTTTTTCAGCCCCGTTTAGAAGTATCAAATGCATTATTTGAAATCTCAAATGTGTTATTTGATGTCTCAAATGCTTCTACACACCCACTTTTAGGAAACTGAATTAAACTGAGTAAAGAAAGCCACTGAACCGTGTTCAGATATTGGATATGACTAAATATTGGGATATTGGGATCTTCAAGACATAGAGAGTCTTATGTGGAATAGAAATCCTCTTCTTTTTTTGTTTTGTTGCTTGCTTATTTCTAACCTATGTTATTTAAGACAAAGCTAGGATCTCAGTTAGCAGGGATTTTAATGGAAAATGATGGACTGAAGAGGTTCCAACAGGTTTTTGAGGAAGACTGTAGGCCCTTTTAACATCTAATGACTCGGAAAAGACAGTGCAGATGTAAGCATCACTTCCATATTGCCTTTTCAATCTCAGAAAACTGATTTATTCGCTTTCAAAATGTTCTCAGTGAGCAGAGCAACCAGGACTTCTTTTAGCTTCCACAGAAACGTTACTGGAAGTTATGCAGATTATTCCATCTCAGCAGTAATATCTGCCGAGGGGCAAAAATTAGAGCACAACTTTATCTTTAAAAACTTCTAAAAATTCTGCCTACATATGGGTTTTAAAGTAGCATAGACAGACTTGTCTTAATTATGAGGCCCCAGAGATGGTTCATCCATGCTAATATTAGAACAGAAAGAGGATTAGGGGCACTGTTTGAAAATAAAGTTAAGATATGGTGCTTTTTCATGCTGTATATTACTCCAGTGGGGAATTGAGGAATTCAAAATATATTTTATAAATCAGCATGAGTGACTCTTAAAATAGTAATTTTTGCTCTTCAATTATATTAAGTCAGTTCTGAAATGAAATTTTTCAGGTATTAATACGATCCCTGCTCATCACTTTACATTTAAACAGACATTTCACTTTGCAGTTTGCCCCCATAATAAATGAATTCTCCGGGTAGAAGCAACAAAATAATTGCTCCATAAATCTCTCAATATTTCAGTTCATAAAGGTGGATTCAGCTGGACAGGGAAAATGCCTTTCCTCTACTTTCTGGAATTCCTGAATTCTGTTATGGTGATAATTTTGTATTTGGAATATTCTTAGGTTTGGTGTTTAAAAGTCATGGCAGTTTGAGATGATGCTCTACCATCTACTCTGAGTCCTCTGCTAAAAGGTTATGCTAAAAGGCATAACCCAAAATGCAAACTATTGGTTTCTTGAGGTCGGGATTGAAGCGCTTGAGATGACATTCCACATTCAGACTCAGGTGTTGATTATTTCCTATCAGTGAAACAGCCTCACAACCATGAGTTTGGCAGCTTTTCATTAGCAAGGCACAAAATGGTGAACTGCCTCTTGGTACAAGGTCTTTTACAACTAAACTGTCCAATTAAGAAACAACACCTAGATTATTTCCCTTTTAACCCAGTAACTGATCCCTCGAAGCCCGCAATGCGGGCTTTTCTGTCCAATCCCAAAACATCACCCAAACCCATGAAGAAGAAGGAAGAAAAAGGTGAAGAAGAAGGAAGAAAAAGGTAAAAAACAACCTGTCTCCACCCTAAAACCTCCATCTTGCTTTATATTTATTTCTATATTCTAAAACCTCCAAACTCTTAAGTTTTCCACCCTGTGATATCACACACTTAAAACCAACTCCACAACCATAATCCCAGTGCTATCAATCAATTTTTAGTCTTCTCCATGGCCTCAGGTCAAATGCAGTGTTCTCTTGTGGGTCTGTTCCTTTCAGCACAGAAAGTCTAAAATTCTCAGCATCCAGGATTTCAACATCTCTCCCTCTTGCTTGAAGCATGAACACTGCACTGACAACTGTGTCAAACATCTGTCAGACACACATTCGACCACATATTTCACTTAAACTCTCATCTAACAAAAATTCTACAACATCACTGATTTCCACACACAAAATTTGAAATGTCCTAGAAAAAAAGCACTGAGGAGTGGTTAAATTAACTCCCACCTCACACCAGAAAAGTTGGGAATCCTGGAAACACACAGAATCAATTCTGAAAAAGAAATCAGATGGAAGAGTTATCTTTTCTCCAAAAGTCAGTCTGAGAGACACAGGCAGGTGGAATGAGGGACACTGGGGGAGTGTGCAAGACTCCTGCTGCTCAAATTAAACTGCATCTCCTGTCTTCTCTCCCTTGGTAAATCCACACCTGCTGAACCAGAGCTTCAATCACAAATATCCATCAGAGCTGTTGGGATAATGGAGTTCTTCATTTGCAATGGCTGGAGATGCTCATACCCCACCCCCAGGCAAGTGGTACTGCCTTGGTTTTACACTCAGCTGAGGAATTGCTAAAATGGCTCCAGGTAGCACTGCCTCTGAAAACAGTGATAAATCATCAGAAAAAAAAAGATTTGATGATTTCTTGTGGAAATCCTGACCCACTGGTAGTGATACCCAGAGGTTGGGGAAGTGCTGGCCCAGGGTACCCAGAGAAGCTGTGGCTGCCCCTGGAAGTGTCCAAGGCCAGGCTGGAGGGCTTGGAGCAGCCTGGGATAGTGGAAGATGTTGGGGTTGGAACTGGCTGATCTTTAAGGACCTTTCCAACCCAACTATTCTGGGATTCTCTGATACCCATGGTGGTACTGGAGTAAATCCCACAGACACTCATAGGTAGAGCAATTAACCACTGGCTCAAAGTTTGTTTCCTTCTGGGTTCTGGATTTGGGGTAGGCAGGACTACAACCACAGGAGCCCAGACATGTAATCACAGCCCAGTGCAGATATTAAATCTCACTGACACTTCAGTGCTTGAAAATCAACATCAAGCCCTATTTTAGATGACTATTCCACCAGAAGTCAAAATGGGGCTGGTGTTATTAATTTATAACCATGCAGCCTCACACAAAGTAACCCTACTGCTGGACAGTAAAAAAAGAAAAAAAATTACACATATACAAGAAATCAAGAGCAGTGATGATGCTTCAACTCATTGGTTTTCCTCAGGCTTTGAGAAAAAGAAAGATATAAAACCATTGTATAGTTAAAGTTAAGCCTTGTGGGCAGAGCATTGTTGTGATTTGTTGTCTCTGGCTTATTTTCTGTTATTAATCTCACAGTGCCTTCAGTGAAAAGTTTTTGCTCTGATCTGCCTGCAAATGTTGGGTGATGAGGCTTTCTAGAAAGCAGGAGCTCTGCATTTGGTACAGGGACATTTTATGGCAATTTGGGAGGCATCTGCTGAAAAGGTGGCTTTTGTAGGAAAAGAGTAGGTCCTGCTCACCATGAAAAAGGAAAATTTAGGAACCAAAGTAGAGCAGAGCTTTCTGAGGTTCTGAGGCAGACACATCCAATCTGGTACAGTGTTCCCTGCCACGGCAATAAGTGTAAGAGGCTGATTTAAGATGTTATTCCTTGGATCAATATTTCCCAGTATCTCAGCAATAACCTGGCCTGAATATGACTCAAAATCACAGTGGGGTGCTTTCATTCCAAGATTCACACATAAAACTTTGAGATTTCAGGAAATGTTGTGGACAGTCCTCAAGGAATTGAGTTTTGCATTCCCGAGCATCATAACACAAAGGGATATTTTTTACTGGATTGAATGTTACTGACCAATTTGAGTCAAATTTCACAGGGGTGTTTTGACTCCTTACCACAAAAACAGTCTTGCCTGGAACACAGTGAACACTAAAAAATTACCTATGACAACCATGAGCATGCTAAAAAACAGGGACAGTTTAGAGAGGCAGATGTTGGGCTTGCATTTAATTTTATACTTCATTCTCTTCACATCTTGTAAGGTTATTGCACTGAAGCCTTAAGTGGCTTATTCACTGAGAGTAGTATAACATTGTTTTCTAT